CCTTATTTGGTCACTGAAAAAAGCTGGTTTTAATCAGAATGAACTTCCATCTATAAATGCTACATACTTCCTGTTACATAATACTATAACAGGACGCTATATCTGTCCAAACATATATACGGTAGCATGTCCAACTCAGAATCTGTCACAGTATCTTTGGAAAATCGTACACTATTGATGATGCTCTCGTCGCTCTTAATTTTGTTTTAAATTTTCAGAAAATCAGCCTCATTATTATAATGAATGGTTTAAACCTATAATCAAAACACTACTTTGTTGCACCCACATATGTCAAAACTCCCATTCTTTCAAAATATTCGTTAGGCCTATGCGTGTTTCTATTTCTTCCAATGATATATTTTCCGAAATTGACACAACCCCTGACACATAATATACTCCCCCTAGACCACGACCATGGATAGATTTTTGAGTAAGAAGCAGAATTTGAAAAATGTACGTTCATCAACTGGAAGCCAGTGAAGAATGTTTAAAATTGGCTTAACAATAAATGACCGGACTACTTATTTCGTTTCTCTGTGTTGGGTTCATTCCAAAGTATTTACAATACTTGTTATCCACTGGTTGTTTATCTGCTCAGTACTATCTGTCTTTTTATATAATTTTTTTTACATATAGGCCTATTTTCATATTGAATATTCTTAATGTGTGTGCAGTATTTTTAAACATTTTTCTTAAATATTGTTAATGTACGGTATTTTCTTTTATTGATGTAAGTTTATTCTTTTCATTGTTTAATTTAATTCTCAATGTGTAAATATTTCATTCAACTAAATTGTACATTATTTTTTGAAGTCAATGTTTTCTAATAAATTTGCTCTCAGTTCAGCTCTCTTACTGCAAACGTGTAATTTTTTAAAGAAATAAAATTCTTCAGAATGAATATTTTAAAGCATAGATATTATTAAAATCCTACTCCTACAGTGAAGGTTTCTGTTTTCTCTGAGTTAATGTTAGGCCCATTATATTTGATAATATTCTTTGATTACTTAGCTTTTTCTTCTTTATCCGTGGCGGCCTTTCCCATTTTCCTACTTTCCTTTTTAGTGTAAGAATTATTAATTGTAAATTTGATTTAATTCATATACCAATTCAGCTGCTAATCAAATATTGAATAACTTCAATTGCATTAAAATTAAAAATTAAATGTATTCTTCAGAGTAGTCACCGTCTGAAGAATTTATTTTGTCTACTTATTATATATATATATATATATATTATATAATTTACATTTATACAGCGCAAATTGCACAGTGCCTATGCGCTTTACATGAAATTATATAACAAAAAGCATATATATAATATATATATATATATATATATATGTACATTCTGCATTTATCCTATGTTCTGCAATGATTCTTCTTTCTTACGAATTATTAGGCCCTATTAATTATATTTTAATACTGTATATTTAAAAAATGTAAAATTTAATTTGTGTCATCCAAATAGAGATCCTATTATCCTATCGTATATAGGCCTGTTCTTGGTACAGTTTTCATATTTAATAAGCACACTATTCAATTTCACATAGGCCTATATAGCCCTATATTTTAATAATGTACAGTAGTTATTTGTGAGTTTTTAAGAGGTTTCAAGAAACAGTAAACAAGGGGTAATTTAATCGTCTGTAAGACATGTGCATCCTCAATTCGCATTGCTTCTAAACCATATATATCTCTAATTTATTTTGATATCCATGTATTTTTTAAAACTAACGAGTTACGCCGTTTTATTGATCGTTGAGTTAACTGACGCTTTTTTAATTACAGCAGCTGAGGTCTTTGTGATCACGATACGATTACTGAAACTAAGTTCGATTTCAGATTATTAGAAACTAATTATGTTCAAAATAAATATTTTATTATCATTACTGTTATTTTTCCATTGATGCGCTTAACATATACATGAAGAAAAAAAAAACGGACCAAGAAACTAACCCTAAAGACATGCTAATATCCTACGCCTTAAACTAGTATGGTTGGCTGTTGACTATGAGGAGCTCATCTGCCATCTACAACTATTTTTTTTATTGCTGCTGGGTGACCATCCATATTATATATTTAGATCTATTTTTATATTATTTATATTGTAAATAACATGTTTGATTTAATACATTTTGTATATAGTAAATTAATTGTTCGTTTGTAATTGTATTTTTTTTGTAATTGTAAAATATTATTTCAATATGCAATTTTTAAAGTAAATTAATTGTTTTTTTTGTAATTTTAATTTTTGTAATTGTAAAATAGCATAATGTGCAATTTTTATTGTAAAACTAACAGTTTTAGTCTTGTGCTACCGTTTTTGTAGTTATCTTTTCTACCCTAGTAATTTTTTTAAATACAGTATTACGATTGTCTGCTATAAACTTATTTATTCATTTTGGTATTACAACAATACAATAAGTGGGTAGCTCCTTTTAGTGATGCATACAAATGTATCAACTTATACTAATGCTTACGGTATATAACCTAGACCTGTGTATCAATTATGAGAATAGTTAGGCGC